CATGAAAATTATAACAAGCACAAAATGGTTACAAGGTCGGTTCCAGGGACAGAGCCTGTGCTGAAAAAATTAATGACATTCTTCAGCTCTAAATTCAATATCCCAATATTTGGCTAGCTATGAAGATTTAGGTTAGTCCTAAACCCATAAACTAACAATCCAAAATAGTCTTCGTAAATGTAAAATTTAATGATGATAATATTCAAAAACTATTTGAAACATTACGACACAGGATTCTTTAATTGTGTTATGGGATGCAATTTCTATTATTGTTGTTGGTGTTAACTTAGTTTGAAGAATAAAAGGTTATTGTCGTAGGTGACAAAATCACTTTGTTATTCCAAAGTCAGAGAACTTAGAAACTATAGTAGTGTTCAGTTTCGTGAGTTTTGGATGCAAGAATCCTTGTTAGTTGCTGAAGGTTGAAGGGTTACTGATACATAGAAAATCTCTAATCCTTGTGAACAGGATAAATGGATATTGACGAAACTAATACAACAGGTACAAATACAAAGTTCTAGCCCTGATTAGGTTTTGACGATCATGAGTCAAAGGTCAGAAGGTCATTTATACATAGAAAGTCTCCGTCAATCTTGTATTCACAAGAACTATATTATCAAATTGGGAGGGACTTAGAACATACAGTATAACATTAATGGGGGCATATGTGTTTCATAAACACAAATTTGCACTTGTTTTCCTTCTGTTTGTTGTTGTTGTCAAGAAAGTCACTACACCTGCTATAGTCTGAAGTTTGTTAAGATGTAAATGTTTGGTTTTGGTTTGTTTTTTTAGTTTTGTGATAAAATCCATGAAAACCAAACAGAACAGTCTAAACACAGAAAAACCAAGTAAGATTGTTTGTCCATTTACTTTGTAATGAAACAAACGAAAGTGTTGTACAATACATAAATAATATAGTAAAGTCTATTTATGTTATCATAGTGTATATTTAATTGTAATGTATTACTTACATAAGGTAGAGTGTATATTTAGTTGTAATGTGTTACATAAGGTAGAGTGTATATTTAGTTGTAATGTGTTACATAAGGTAGAGTGTATGTTTAGTTGTAATGTGTTATATAAGGTAGAGTGTATATTTAGTTGTAATGTGTTATATAAGGTAGAGTGTATATTTAGTTGTAATGTGTTATGTAAGGTAGTGTATGTTTAGTTGTAATGTGTTATGTAAGGTAGTGTATGTTTAATTGTAATGTGTTATGTAAGGTAGTGTATGTTTAGTTGTAATGTGTTATGTAAGGTAGTGTATTTTTAGTTGTAATGTGTTACATAAGGTAGGGTGAATATTTAGTTGTAATATGTTACATAAGGTAGAGTGAATATTTAGTTACGTTAAATAAGGTAGTGTATATTTAGTTGTAATGTGTCATATAAGGTAGTGTATATTTAGTTGTTATGTGTTATATAAGGTAGATTGTATTATTTAGTTGTAATATGTTACATAAGGTAGAGTGAATATTTAGTTACGTTAAATAAGGTAGTGTATATTTAGTTGTAATGTGTTACATAAGGTAGTGTATATTTAGTTGTTATGTGTTATATAAGGTAGATTGTATTATTTAGTT